GCTGAAACAGCCTTAGGGGTTGCAGACGCGGATCCGCGAGGCCTGGGACTGTCTTGAACCTCGCGCAGTCCGGTGGGGAGGGCCGGACCGCATCCAGGTGCACAGGACCAATCCTGACTGACCCTATCTTCGCGCTTTACACTCCCTTGAGCCCATTTCGGGGTGGAGACTCTCCAAGACCCAAAGTTTCGAGAGCGAAGAGAGTTTAGATGTCCCCATTGCTTGAGTGCGAAAACAGCCTCTCACACTCGCAGCGCGCCCAGCACATCCCAGCAGGAAGTCTGCCTCAGTTCCTAGGTCTGGGACTGACCGGGAAAGCGGGTTGGGGCTGTTGCGGAAAGCTAGAGCTGATGGCGAGATTGCCGTGGCTATAAATCCATCACTTCCCAGGTCAGCTCCGCGAGGCGCAGGGACTGGGGCTGGCGGAGTGAATTCCTGGGCTAGCGCGCATGCGTCGGCAGGTAGCAACCCAGCTCTTTATGACCAGGTGAGATGTTGGTGAGCAGGTAAAAAAAGGAGGATTTGCCTAAGCGATTCCAGGGAGCGGGCCCAGTCGAGCCCTACAGCCCATGCCCGGCGGGGACCCGTCGCCAGGAGCGCCGAGCCGCGATGTCTATACTTGCCAAAATGGGGGACTGGCAGGTACGGGGGTTTGTCAGGGCTGTGGCCAAGGTGGGCGGGGGTGGAACGGGGGAGGGGGCCGGGAGGGGAAGGCGGAGAGGAAGAGCCTTGGCCCAGGGCAGGAGAGTTGTAGGCGAGGCGCGCCTGGCAGCGCCCAGGAGAGTTCCCAGGAGGGAAAGAGGACAGGAAAAACGCGCGAGGGCGGCGGCCGCGGCTCTGGGGGCAACACGCGTTGCTCGCTGGCTGGGCGCTGGGGAAACTCCGGCGTACGCTCCACAGGTGGCCCCGGGGGGTGACTTATGGTTTGCGCTACAGCTGTCCCCCACCCCCACCCCAAGTAGAAACAGGGGTGGATGACTAATTCAGGAGGGGGGTGGGCGCAGGGCGTGGGCTGCGGTGCGCCTTGAAGAGGGTTCCCTGCTGGTTACGCCTTCGATTTTTCCCCAGACCCAAGGGCTGCGCGTGAGGTGGGGTTCTAGTGCACCTGTCTCTCTTTGTGTCTCCAAGTTTGGGGGACAGAGGGGTTGTGGAGAATGGGAAGGAGTTCAAATGGAAGGTCGCGCTGCGAGCATGCTCATTTTGGGAAATACTTAACGTTGAGTTTGCAAAGTTTAGCTTCTCAGTCCGCTTTTTGAAGCCAGTTTTCGCCGCTTGGGCTACTGAGTGGTGACTGGATGTGTGGGGGCGGGGGGGGGGAGGAGAATGAAGCAGCAGGTCTAAAATTTCCTGAAATCAACGCCAGCCAGACTTGGCCCTGCTAGGCCGCGGGCACCACAAGGCTAACTAAGCTCCGGATTCTGTCCTTTCTGAGTCATGGACCCCAACCCCGACAACGGGAGCATTAGTCCAGCGCTGTCCTTCTAACAGACATTTACCTTATGGGAACCTGGATGGCTCTGGTCAGATTGGTGAGGGTAGCAGCCTCTCTCCTGTTGCCGATTTCATAATGGGAACCCCAGGGCCCTTTTTTCCGCCCGGCAATGCAAGGTCTGGTTAGGGCGAGGTTCCATGTACCTAGAAGTCTGCTGGGCGATTCGAACCAAAAGCCTGGATCTTCCCAAAGAAAAGTTGAGGCCCTGCTCCTTCTAGGGCGAATTCTTTCTTTCGCTTTTTTTTTCTTTTCAGATTTGGGCCATTAAAAGTAAAGTTCAGAGAAGTCCCGTCTTCACTACATTCCCTGGAGTTGGGGAAAGGAAGTCATCTTGCAATACTCATTTCTTTCCTTGTACTTATATATTTTTAAAATCAACTGTGTGTTCTTTTATACCGCCCCACCCCCAGGTAAATCTCACTAAATAAAATTTCATCCTCAAAGTTACACTAACTTTGTGGTTTAGGGGTACAAATCTGACACCAAATACAAATCCTGGGAATGCGCACCTTTCTTTCCCTTGCCCTGGTGGGCCTCAGAGCCCTTTTTCATTCTCTTCCTTGGAGGGTGAAGGTTAGGCAGAGGTTTTTGAGTTTCCTCCTCAAGCGGAAAGAACTTTGTTGCAGAATTCCTCGGTGGTAAGAAGGTGCTGGGAGCGCAGGCTGGGCCTGGACCTGGGCCTTCAGTGGGCCCAACTAAGGCTCTGAAGCAGTGAGGTTGCAGCCTGAAGGGGAAAGGAGTAAACCCTGGGCCTGGCTCCTGAGGGCTTATGGTTTGGCAAGTGACCGAAATCCTGAATCTCAATTAGGACGCTGAGGATTTGGGGCCGGGAGGGACGGGATGCTCTGGGGTTGGCTTGTGGGGCTCCTGGGTCCCTACTGTGTGGTGACAACCAGAGAAAATAGAGTCTTTCTGGCCTCTCACTGTCTCTTTGTTTCTCTCAATATCTCTTTCTTCACAAAGACACTTGCTCTTAGCCCAGCGCCCTTTCCACGCCCCCAAATTTGGCCTGGACCCCCACTTCCACCCCTAACCCCAGGCCTGGCGCTGCTGTCCTGGGGTTCCGGCAAGGCCTAAGCATTGACATGCAATCAAGCGACTTGTCGTGGTAATGACGCTCACACTAACGCAGCTCGGCTGGCTCCAGGGTCGACCCAGGTGTTTGCCTGAGCCTTTCTTCAGTGCCCAAAACACAGGCGGCCGCGCAGAGCCCGCAGGCCCCAATCTGCACCTCAAAGGCGCCCTCGGCAGGAATACAACAACAGTTTAGCAGCCCGGGCGGGTGAGAAGCTAGAGATCTGCGGGGTGCGGGGCAGCAAGGGGGAGAGGGAGTGGAGAAGATGAAGAGCCAATGCCTCCCCCAGCTCGCAAACTGAAAGAAAGAAAGCGAAACTTGAAAGAGTTCCCTTAAGCACGCTGTGGCGACGTCTGAGGGTGGAAAATCCATGCTCCCAGGCCTGGGGTTTGGCCTGCAGATCACGCTCTGCTTCTGCGGTCGCCTCTGGAAAGGTGTCAGTCCTCCCAGCGGCCCCTATCCCTACTTCAAGCAGGCTGGGCGGTGGGCTCCCGGGGCATCCCCACAGAGTGAGTAGTGCTAGCACTAGAGGTGATCCTTTCCTGGGTGGAGTGCGGTGCGAAGCCTCAAGCTGCAATCAACCAAAGGACTATGGTAGTTTTCTGGCGGGGAGGGGGGGTGCGGGTTGATAAACGAGTGAAAAGAAGAGCCCAGGGTGTGGCGGGCGGGGGGGGGGGGGGGGAGTTGGGAGTGGAGTCCCTCTGGCTCTAAATCCTTCTTTTAGTTCTAGTCTTCTTTCTAACTTTTTGTGGGTCCTCTTGGCCTACTATCCCTGGCAAGGGAAATTTGCTGCGATCCTCTGAAGGCAGAATTGCCCTTCCACAGGCTTGTGGGGAGAAGTCCTCTCTCCTCTTGCCTTCTTTCCACCTGTTAAGAACGCTCCGATTTTCAATAACCCATGCCCCACCTCAGGGACACTGGAAATCTGGGAGGCTTGGAGATTTTCAAGAAACAGGCCTAGAGGGAATCAAAAGTCTTTAGTCGAGCACTGTGAAGCGAGACTTACTGTTGTTGGGGAGTTTTCAGTATTCAAATAGATGAAAGAAACTTTTTCTGTGGAGGACAAATAAGGAAGCTCAGCCAGAGAAATTAACTCCTCTGTATTTTGAATATTACGTCTTTGTTTTCTCTTTCTTCCTTAAAAATTTTGCTAAAACAGAAGAAAGAATATAAAGCGAGCAGGCCCCTGTGTAGAGTGGGAGATGTTATACTAGGAAACCTGAACGAGGTCTGTCTCTGTCTCTGCCCTGTGTCTGGGTTCCGCGTCAGCCCGGCACTGCGTCGCGAGTACGCCCGCGTTAGTAACATCACCAAATCATGAAGGAACTCTCCCTGCTTTAATTAAAAAGGGGGATCTTGGGAAAACTGGAGCAGATTAGCACAGCGAAGAGTTGGTTCCCAGCGATTTATTTTGATGCATGCATGACACAGTGCACACATGTCAGTATTTCGGCTCAACTCCGGAAGCGAGTGTCTCTATAGGAATTCTATATCCTTGTCCGCATTCCACCTAGGAAACCCTTAGCCCAAACGCCACGTTGAGTTATCACTCGGTTCTAGCTTCATACAAACGAGAGGAAAATCATTTAACTCCTCGAGCTGTCAAGCAACCTCTTCAGGGTACAATTTTTATTTTACACGCAGCAATTAAAGGATCGCAACCCCCAGCCGAGCGACTGGGGCCGTTTAGCAAAATCTGCAACCTGGGGGTAAAGAGCAAAGCCAATAAAACTCCCAAAGCTCTGAGGCCCGAGGTGGTGGCTGCCCAGAGAAGAAGCTTATCTCTTGTTGGGCAAAAATCCTGGAGCGACTTAGCCAGTCTTGGTTTGGTGGTTACATTTAATTGCGAAAGGGATAATAATTTCTAATAAAATTGGACGGGGCCCGAAAGGACAGCGCCGTTTTTGGCAGCAGGGGTGGAGAAAGGTGCTGAGGATCTGGCCTAGGGCTCGGCCTCTCGGCTTCTGCGCGGTACCAGGCCTTTGCGCGGGACACCTCACTCAAGGAGGGGAAGGAGAGGAAGAGCAGTGGGGAGGAATGGGGTGGGGGGTGCTGGGCCGTGTGGAAGGGCTCAAGGGAGATTTCACTAGCTCACTGGCAGGCGTGCGCTCTAGGAGCAACTACGCGGCTCCGAGAGGCCTTTATACCTGGGTCTGAGCGGCCGGCGGCAGATTGTAGTGCTGGCGAGCAATTGGACTATTGTTGATATGCTAATGAGGCGATTAGGCCGTTGGTAAAGAGCTGGAAAAGGGAAAAGTTTCTACCATTAGAGGGAGATCTCCGAGCGCACACGGGAGCTCTTTCCCTTCTCTCCTCCTCCTCCTCACCCTCCTCCTCCTCCTCCTTTCTGCCCTCCTCCTCCTCCTCCTCTCCCTCCTCCTCCTCTCCCTCCTCCTCCTCTCCCTCCTCCTCCGATCACCGTCGAAGCCGGCACTTTTCGCTTACCCAGAGAGTAGCTGCACTTGGGTGCCGAGGCAGAGAGGGGGCATATCCGTTCACGCCGATCCATGAAAATGCTTTGGAAACTGACGGATAATATCAAGTACGAGGACTGCGAGGTAAGCGCGGCGCTGGCTCAGTTATCCTTGCGGCCTCAGGCTCCGAGCTCTACCCTCCCGCACCTCCTCTTCTGGCAGCCAGCTGAGAAATGCCGGTGGGACAAACTTTACCCCGCGCAGCGCCCGCCTCTCCGATTTGCCCGAAGAACGCAGGGGAGAGCTGGAGAGGGAGGATGTGGACGCTCCCCTTTTCATTTCCCCTCTTCGAAGCCTGTGTCCCACTTTCCCACTTTTTCTGACCAGTATTGTCTTTGCTTAACAGCAGACACAAGATAAGAGCATGGGTTTTTGAAGCAATTGCTGGCAACTGGGCACGTGCCTGTGCACTCTGCGTGTCTCTCCTGAGAAATTCTGGGGGCCCAAGTCACCAGGAAAAGAAATGACAGAGAAAAAGCCCTTTCCTTCTTTAACTTCCTTTCGGATCCTTAATGTTCCTTACTTAATTCTTCCCTCAACCTTTAAAAAAAAAAAAAAGGATCATTTTTATTTGGAGAAGGGGCCCCGTATACTACGCTCTAAGCTGGGTTGCATCTCCCTTTTAGCGGGTTCAATTTTGTGCGCACTCATCTCCCAAACTGCTGCTGGGCCCGCTCCAGGTACACTCTGTGTCCTGTGTTAGTCAAGAAGTTCTAAGCCGCTTCATTCTCTGAACTACTTGGCTGGCGAATCCCTGGCGTGGGTATGAGGGGCTGCGCGGAAAGGAGCATGCTGGCCCCGGGCTCCTCACGCTTCTGCCCCTGCAGCTGCCCGACACCCGGTTGCGTGACCGTGGGAACCCTGTCGGGGCTGCCGGAGACCTCCGGTGCAGGGAGCCCGCGGAGCCGATAGAGCGCGCCGCATTGGAGCCCATTAAAAAACCCATGGTCCCGGGAGCTTGGTTTCATGGGACAGCCGGGGAAGCCCCAGCACCACCGGTTCGCCCGCGGGAGGCGCTGAGGCCGGGCCTGGCGGCCGCTGCTCCTACCACCCTTACATCTCCTGCAGAAATGAGTCGATGAGTCACGGGGCGGGAGGAGGGGGGAGCGGTGCGGGGGAGCGCTGCCGGAGATTACCTAAATAAATAGGTAGCAGTTCAGCTTTTGCCATTTTTCTTCCTTTTTGGCTTTTGGAGCTGGGAATGTCAGCCGTGGAAGTCTGTGAGGGCACAACGGCAGGAGTCTTGTCTTGACTTGAAATCGGAACCTGGGTTTATGAGAACGTTGTGTCACCCGTCCCGCTTTCCCCTACTATCTGTAGATTATTTTAAATCTTTCTTCTTTCCCGGGCCCTCTTTTCACTCCCCCCACCTCCATAAGGAACGGGGTGACATCCCACGGGGACCGGCGCTTCTCTGAGGGCTCACGTCGTGCGCGGTGAGAGGCGCAGACACCCTACGTCAGACCAGCTGCTTTGTTTTCAGGACGGGGGTGTCCTTTGGGAGCTAGTCGGGGCGAAACTCAGCCTTTAGGTCTCGTAGGGAGAATGCCCAAGGCTCAGGCATTCACTTTTTGGCGGAGTGAATCCGGCTCCGGGCGGGCGCTGAGCTCTCGGCCGGCGGAGTCCCAACCTCCGCGCGGCACTAGGCGCCTATCGGACCTAGGTGGGAGGCAATGCGCTTGCACCCCCAGTGAGGGACCCTGTAGGGGTGCGAGTGAATGTGTGAGTGAATGAGGCAAAAAGAGAAAAAAGAGAAAGAATAAAAATGAGAAACAAGACGGGGAAGAAAATAGAGTGAGGGTTGTTTCGACAACTTTGACTGCTGTGTGAGAGCGCCGGAGCAGGGATTTCGGGTTTCCGAGCCGGCTTCGTGCAGTCTCATTATGTCGGGGCTCTGCAGGGACACGCAGAAGGCGAGGTGCCGCTTGTTCTGACAACCCGGCAGGCAGACTGGCAGCGGCGGCAGCCTTGCCGCGCTGGGAGAGAACGAGCCGTGTCATCCGGAGGGGCGTGGGCGGGAGCGGCCCAGCCAGTCGGACGGGTTTGAGCCCAGAGTCCGTGCCAGAGGCGCCCGGGCTGGGCCGCCTCGCGTCTCTGCGCGCCCGGGACCCGGCTCCCCTCCCCGAGCCCCTGCCTTGGCGAGCCAAGGGCGGGGCAGCAGCTGCGGCCGAACGCGCAGCCCCGGGTGTCCAAGGGAAGCTCGCGCGCGGTCCGAGACGAGGGCCGGTCCCGGGCGGGGCGCCGGACCATGGAGGAGCAGCGAGGCAGCGGGCAGCCGAATCCCGAGTCCCAGGCCCGGCTGCGGAGCGGAGGAGCTCGCGGCCGGCGAGGGCAGGGAAGCACCTCCGGTGCCGAGAGCCGGATGAACGCCCGGACGCGGTCCCCGGTAGCTCCTGCCGGTGACTCGCGGCCCCCACGGTATCCCGAGGTCTGCCCCAGCCTTTTAGGTCCGATTGTCCTCACTCGCTACCTCTCCCCCTTCCCCCTCCCCCGCGGCCTCCCCCTCCGCGCGCTCGGACTCAGCCCCCTCCCCCTCCTCCCTCCCTCCCTCCCTCCCTCCCTCCCTTCCTCCCTCTTCATGGGCTCTCCCTCCTTTCCTCCCTCCTCTGTTCCCACTCCGGGCTCCTCTCCCTCGCCCACACTTTCTTTCTCACACACGCACGCAGACACATTCTCCCTCTCTGCACTCTCTCCCTCTGTCTCCCTCTCTCTCTTTCTCTTTCACTTTTGCCTGCCCTGCAACCTTTTAAAATGTTGCCCCTTCCCTGTGATTCGCCAGACGCTGCGCCGCGGCCCCCCGCGCGCTCGCCCGCTCCCTCTCTCGCCCGCTTTTTGTCTCTGGCGCTCCCGCTCCCCACCTCCGATTTGCTACACTGAGGCTCCCGTCAATGGACTGCATTGAGAGCCGGCTCCAGCGCGAGTTGCCTCTCCGCTTCACGCTCGATTTCCAGGCATTCTTCCCTTATTAAGTATTCGTGTAATATTAATAGTCATGAATATCTGCTATTAGGAGGCTCCAGGAACGCTGCCCAGCGCGGTTATTAGAAGCTCAAGCGAAGCCGCCGCTAAGAAAAGAGGGGAGACACGGATTAAGGAACACGCGCGCGCACACATACAGACACACACACACTTTTTCTTTTTGGGGGCTTTTCATTTTCTAAGGAACTTTTGACTCATAACCGAGCACGGCAGGATAGAGATCGTGGGTTCGACCAGCTGAAGGCGCCGCTCGAATCGGTGGTTCAAGTTCGGATGGACCAGAGCGGGGCTACAGCGCTCGGGGGAGCGTCGGCGCGGTGACTGGAGTCCAGGGTGGCTCGGGGCTCCCGGCGCCTTTTGTGTGGGGCGTACTCGGGCGGCGGGGCAGCCGGTCTCTCCAGGCTTGCTTGGTTTTTTTTTTTTTTTTTTTCCACCCTGACTCGTTACCCCAGACTCTTCGCAGATGTTAGTTCACAGTTTTTCAGCTATGGTGAGTCCCATCCCCACCCCCCATTCCTGTTTCCTTAGGAATTCTAAGAGACCTCGGGTTTCACGCCCAGGTTTCCATCAGGGCACCCCTATTTGCATTTTCCTCTTTCCTCTTTTCCATTCTCAAATGCCTTCGTTCCCTGCTCGACATCTCCCAGCGCGCAGACCTACCTCGCCGCTACTTCCCGAGGCGTGTTTCTCGCCACGTTCATCTTTATTTCCTTGCGTCTTCACTTGTTCCCGAGATGTGCTCAACATCTGATGCTAAATCCGTTTGCTGAAAAGAGCGCAGCCCAATGTGCCCCCTACCCTAGAGGACGGGGCTGAACCTCCGAAGGTTCGAATTCCCTGGAATCAACTCTGTTAGCTTGTTTTGCAAGCGAATTTCAATAGAGGAACAGAAAGTCTGGCGTTTCTTCTGCCCTTTGGGGCTGGGGTGAAAGGGGCGGGGGTCTCCGCCCTGGGTGCCCCTCTCTCTTTTAAACCCAATTAGGCGGAATCTTTCTATTTTAAACCTTGACTTGACGTCCCCTTCTCCCCATCCATATCATAAATCGACCCCGTGGCGAAAAGGGCTCCTAACTGAGGGAGCAGAAAATACAGGACCTCCCCCCCCACCCCGCACCCACTGCAGTTAAAACCTTCTTTAAACTGGTAATTTAAACGTGTGCTTTCGTTGTAGTCCTACGAAATGTTTCTATTTAAATAGTCATGAAAAGGCAGTAATCTTTGAACGTGTGTGATTTCCCCTTCCAAATAAATGGAACAGAGTAAACAATAACGCAGTGGCAGGCAGGTTCAAATACGGGAGGAAAAGAAAAGGCCGCTTCTACTGTTTAATATTTAGTAGGAATTTTAATTTTGCTTAAGGGAGATTTCACACTGCAGCTTAACGGGCTCTATTCTGGGAGGTCCTTTTCCTCCCCCACTTTTGAAAGAACCGGCTAAGGAAAGTCTCTGATACCCACGCATTTGCACACTAATTCCTTGCGTTTTTGAAGGGCTCGGTTTACTTCTGGGGTATTTTCCGAAACCAACAACTTGGAGCTCATTTCTCTCTGCGGCCTGCCGACGGGAAGGGGCGGTTTCCCACGCAGCCTCGCGGAGTGGATTTAGTGTGGACAGCTGTAACTCGACGCCTGATTCCTTGTTCGTTCCCCTTCCTCTCGCTCTTTTCCAGGACCGTCACGACGGCACCAGCAACGGGACGGCACGGTTGCCCCAGCTGGGCACTGTAGGTCAATCTCCCTACACGAGCGCCCCGCCGCTGTCCCACACCCCCAATGCCGACTTCCAGCCCCCCTACTTCCCCCCTCCCTACCAGCCTATCTACCCCCAGTCGCAAGATCCTTACTCCCACGTCAACGACCCCTACAGCCTGAACCCCCTGCACGCCCAGCCGCAGCCGCAGCACCCGGGCTGGCCCGGCCAGAGGCAGAGCCAGGAGTCTGGGCTCCTGCACACGCACCGGGGGCTGCCCCACCAGCTGCCGGGCCTGGATCCTCGCAGGGACTACCGCCGGCACGAGGACCTTCTGCACGGCCCACACGGGCTTGGCTCGGGACTCGGAGACCTTCCGATCCACTCCTTACCTCACGCCATCGAGGACGTCCCGGTAAGAGGCCGCGCGGATGGCGCGAGAGGCAGTGCGGCGCCTACTCACCCACTCCCAGAGAAGATGCCGGGGACGCGCAGCCGGTGGGCCCGGGTTTTCCTCAGTGGTGGTTACTTTTTCGAAATTTCATTGGGAGGGGAGGCCGGTGTTTTAAGGACCCACATAGAGAACCGAATTAAAAAATAAATAAAAAGAAGTTGAGAGTTCTGCCCCTAGAACAATGGTTCCTGGAACTACTTCAAACAATGCCCGCATTACCATTTCCACCAACTCAAATAAATCAGGCAAATGTCACAATATCTTCCCCTCTCCGAGACTGTAAACTGTTTCGACTGGGAGAGGATCTAATTCCATCGCTGAGTCTGGCATGGGGATTTCTCCCTGTTCAGGAAAAGATGTTAAATTCAACCGAAAGGGCTTATTAAATGCCCTGGCAATTTAAAAGAGTGTAAAAGACATACTAAAAAATTATTTTTACCAGATTTAGTTAGGGGTATCCCCTACCCTGATTAAAGAATAAATAGCAAATCTGAGCAGAGGGACATTAAAATGCAGCCTTCTTCCTAGGGGTGCTAAGTGCTGACCTCATAAATCATTAGCTAAGTTCCCAACGCCTATCAGAACCTGCTACACCCCATATTACATGGAATGTTTAGAGACTATTGGGCAACATTACTTGAGTTTGAATTCAGTTATCAATAAATGTGGTTTAAAATGATCTCTTAATAAGCATGGTATTAGCACATTTACTATTTACAATGTAAACCAGCTATTGATAATTTGAAAATACTTTCTGAAATTAAATTCAAACCACCATCTCTGCTTCAATTCTGCATATTTATGGTTTCCTCACAACCTTCCTGAAATGGAATTAGAACAAGCCAATAATTTTATTAAAGCTGTAAAGGCTCTGTTAATGCTGCTTTTCTTTGGAGAGGAAATGTATCTGGATGTGATTTTTGCTAAAATGCTATTTCAAATTACTGCATCAAATATTGCAGCAATATGTCCGTTGACAGTTTAATGATTACTGCATTAGATTGCAAAGAAAATGGTCAGATGAACTTACCTGCTTGCTTGGTGAATTTAAAACTTTATTTAAGTCACATAGGAAAATAGAAAATTTATTACATCTCTCATTTAGCTCAGTTAATCACTGAAATTTGTTGGTTATGTCTAGCAGCCTTGCATGGAAAATAGGAACTTGACCCAATGTGGGGTTTAGTAAGCAGTGTGGGTGTGTGTGTGGGGGGGGGGGTGTTCAAACATGTTTTTAGAAACTAATACTAAACAGTGCATTTCTTGGGAAGGAAAATAAGAGGAGCAATAGTTGGGGAAAGAGCAATTAAAAAACAAACCTAGAAGTTGTGATCATTTTAGTTCTTCCCAAAGATTCTCTGAATCCTTTTCCTAGCCATGTCTTTGGGAATATTGAATTGCAAGATAACGTTGCAAGCTTTTGGGATTACTGTGAATTAGAATTCTCTACTTTGCAAAAATTCCGAAGTGGCTCTTATGAATTCTTAACACCTGTCTAGTCACTCTTTATGGTGAAATTGGCCAGTGGAAGAAATTAACCAAAAGATTAAATAAAAACAAGGAAACCCAGTTGCTGCTCTCCCTCTCCCTCCCCCACCTTTAAAAAAAATTCTTTCAAAGGAATTTGGGTCAGGAAAAGGGTTGTTTTCAATTTTCCCATTGCTACAACAGTTAACCTTTAATAAGAATGACTACTAAATATTTAAGAAAATCAAATTGGTGGTGAAAATTATTTAATCATTAATATCTCAGTGGGGTTTTAAACTTAACAGTCTTCCCTGTATGGACAAGGTCTAGAAATAACACAAATAAAAGTATTATGCCACACTACATTTACTTTATGAGTTTAGGGTGCATGCATAAAAGGATCATATTTCCCCATATAGTTAAAACACAAGAACTGCAGCAGTACTCATTTCTGAACATTTCTCAATTTAATTATACTTAAATCCAGAAGCACTTTAGGCAAGTTACAAATGAGAGCATTGAGTATAATAAAACCTGTAATAAAGCAACTTAGTACCATCCACCCGGAATCATTGCGATCAGGCACAATTAACAGGAGCATAAATCCAAGACAGAATGGAAAATGTTTGAATCAGTATTATTGTTGGACAAAGACTAGAGAAGGAAGTAATAGTTTTTTAAATGGTAATGCCTGTGTTTGGTAACGATTGCGAAATCTTCTATCTCAGCAGCCCTGGTGCTAATTTGTAAACACAGCCAGACATTATATTGCCTGTCAGTTTCTGCATTAGAAAAAACATGATTTCATTTTACTTTCTAATCACGTTTTGACTCTGGCACACACATATACTGATCCATCTGAAAAAAAAAAAAAGAAAGAAAAAAGAGAAAAAACCCCACCCCAACAAATCTGCTGGACAACAGAAAAACAATCTCGAAGGGGTTTTCTTGGTTGTTTTTTTTTTTTATTCATGTTCCTATCTGATATCCAATTTAGGCACTAGTCTTTTTTTTTAAACAAATTATTTTAATTTTTCCATAAGTGAAGGTGTGTGTATGCCTTTGCTGTTCATCACACTACCTAAAGCTTGTCCAACACTTCCCTGTTACTCCCACCTCTGTCATTTCTATTGTGTTTTTCTGGCTGTTGCTGCCTGAGCACTGGAATCACTAAAAGTCCAAAGCTGCTGAGGCGCCAAAGTAATGCTAGGTGCATTTTAAAAGGTTGAACTGATTGTGAAAAAGATAAGGTGCTCCAAAACTTGATTTTAATTTCCAAAGAAAGTTTTATCCTCCACCCCCACCTCTTTCAAACGTGAATTATTTGCTGGGGGAGGAGAAATTGGCCTTGGGTGTGCAGTGAAACCTCTTGAGTTGCAAAGCCCCAAATTCCAATAAGCCAAGATGAGATGTTTATATATGTCACTAGAAGGGGGGAATTTCGATTCTACACCTTCCCCTCCCCCCCCATCTTGCACAGAATATTCATTTCCTTTTGTTTTGATTATACACTTACATCCATGTGTATCCTTTTGTTGCAGCATGTAGAAGACCCGGGTATTAACATCCCAGATCAAACTGTAATTAAGAAAGGTAAGCCATTTCCTTTTGCATTCCAAGCATGTCCGTACAGGCACAGTGCTATTTAAAAGAACTTGCAGAACTGTATTTTTTCAGATACCATTTTCCTAAATACTCAGAATTAGCAAATAGATAGGCATAGAATAGCAATGCCTAAATGATTGGCTTTCAGTAAGTGAGCAATGGCAACAGGCTAGCTTTGTTCTGATTCATGATTTGACCATTTAATTTAATGCTATCTGGACAAACACATACATGTGTAATAGTTGAACTGATTTGGAAGTGGCATTTCAATTTTGAAACATGTTAATAGTTTAGTTAATCCGTTGTGTGAGTGGCCATGACTGTTAAGTGCAACATGCTAAAAGAGTACAAATAATTTAACATTAATATAAGGGCAAGTGATAAAAAGACGTAGCACTCCTCAGCAAAGGGGAAAAAACCTTCTATATTTTTCAATTTCATTTCTCATTAGCTCCTTAAGGGTTTTTTAAGTTTGTGAATTAGGTTAACAAAATGTTGGCTTTCGGTTAAAATTAACGTCTTAAAGATGTCAGGATTGTTAGCATAATTGCTCATAGCAAAAGTTGTTTAAAAGTGTCCAGTGATGTTAATGGATTTATAACTTGTATTTAGTGTGTAGAAATAAAGTTTACTGGATTAAATGATATTCACAGCAGCTTTTTTGTTGTTATGGTGGCGATGTTACATTTCAGGATTCTAGGCACCACCAGAGGATGATGCTATATAAAACTGTTCTCATTTCTAACCCCAATCAGTATATTGTTAGCTAGTTTAAAGTTTCATTTTTACATTTGTGAAGTCTTTGTCACATCAAATTAGATGTACAAGGGATAAATCTTAAGAGATGCGCTTTCCAAGTCGACATGATAATTGGCTCTTTTATTAGTAATCTCTCAAGAGTTCGTTTAACTCCTATTGTCTCTATTAGCCTCCCTAGAGCTATTAATGTCACAAGTGATCTATCCAAAACCTAGAGCTCCCACCTCCCCATACATCTAGAATATCCCCATTAAAGAGGGAGGAGTATGGTGATAAGAAGGTATACTTAATATGTATGTCTCAACGTAGAATTAAAAAATACAAATGCATACTTTACTTAATGGCTGTGAATTCATCTGAATTATAGTGGTGTTGAGAAATGTAACATTAGTACACTTTCTACTGGAGTTGAAATTTTTCTGACTACTAATATATCCTCCCCCCTTCCCATTGAAGACGCTTAAGCTGAGGACTATTAACTATTTGCTCAACAAAAAGACATATTACTAGTAATCTATGATAGGCCTTTTTATCCTTCTTTCTCCCAGTACAAAACGGGGCCTGGAATGGTTATCCGAAACTTGAGTCTTTCTCAAAACTAAACATAGGAAAGGGCCTATTTGTCAAAAGGATGGGGCACGTGCGTTGTGTGGCAACAGAATCCACCACTTCCCAGCTGATGCCTTAACTGAAAATGCTCATTTACAGGCTGATTTGCCATCTAAATCTGCGCTGATTTTAATTATAGGTCTATAAAGCAATTTCTTCCCAACACTAAACCCCTCACTCCACAAACTGCAAAGGAGACATAGCTTGCTCTTGGTTTGCAAACGTAACCCCCTCCCCTGCACCCTAAACCCATGCTCAAGCACCTTATCTGGGGCCCACTCTGTTCGGATGCTGAGAGCTCAAAAGGCACAATTTCACCACCATCTCTCGACGGTAGCCTTGAGGCTAAAAGGAAAGAGTCCAGGCAGAAGCACAGGCCTGGCTGTCGGGTTTGGGTGGGCACAACTCCAGGCCGAGAGGTGAGGCGCGCCGAGGAGCAGTCTTGACGGAATAGGGTAGGAGATGGGGAAAGAGCCATGGAATTTTCAGGGATGGAAAAGTGGGGGTTGCAGCGCAAGCCTGGGCGCCTGCCCTGGCCAGGGAAGAGAGTCGTGTCCAGTAGGACTTGGGAGGGATCCTCGACGCCCACACACGGCCTCCCGGTCTGTCTCCGCAGGCCCCGTGTCCCTATCCAAGTCCAACAGCAACGCCGTCTCCGCCATACCCATTAATAAGGACAACCTCTTCGGTGGCGTCGTGAACCCCAACGAAGTCTTCTGTTCAGTTCCGGGTCGCCTCTCGCTCCTCAGCTCCACCTCGAAGTACAAGGTCACGGTGGCGGAAGTACAGAGGCGCCTCTCACCGCCCGAGTGTCTCAACGCTTCGCTGCTGGGAGGAGTGCTGCGGAGGTGAGGCCCAGCGCGGCCCTACCCTCCCCACCCCGCGGCTGGGGGAAACACTGCGCCTGCGCTGGAGCGGCGACGCGTAGGGGCTTCGCGCCACGGCCCTCCTTTCGCGGGAAAAGAAAGGGGCGGGGGGGGAGGGCGTGGAACTTGGAGGACGGGAGCTAGAGGTGGGGCGAGGCGGCACGCGCCTGCGCTCTCCGCCGGCTTCCCGCTCATGGGGGTGGGGTTCTGGCGCGCGCTCGGGTAGGTAGCGGCAGCGCGCTCACTGAACCACCCGGTCCCTCCCTCCCTGTCCTGCGCGCACGCGCAGCTTGTATCGCCGTGCTCTCAGTCCCGGCAGCTGCAGCAGCGGGGCGCCGTGCAGCTGCCTTTTACTTCCTTGCGCACACCTTGCCGGCCCTGCAAAACTTCCTTTTGGGTTCTTCACTTTTCCTTACCTCATTGTAGGGTCTCTGACGGTTACCCGCAGTTTCTTGAATAGGGTTTTAAGTAGAAGACAGTGGCTTTCTCTTGAGTCTGCATGCTGCGCCCGCCAGTCGTTGCCACCTCGGCCAGACGGGGACTCCCCGTGCCCAAGGCAGTCACATAAATGACTGCGATGTAAGGGGGCCCCGATGTGTGCCAGACAACAGGCAAGGCACTTTTAAGTGCATTACGCGTAGTATATCGACGAATGCGTGTTGCATGTGTGGCCAGGGATTCTGATATCACCTCCACGAGGTCAGAATGATTTATTTCGTAGATAAGATTTTATAAGGATCAGCGAGGTGAATCATCTTCCCTCAGGGCAGGTTTCCCCCTCCTGTTTGTGGGCTTCTTCCTCCCAGGATTCCACACAGTGTTATGAGTGGTGGGTCTTGTGTTGAACTTTCCCAGATATTTTCTTTCTTCTTCTTTTAAAAAAAATTTAAGTAGACCAAAACTTTATTCTTTTGTTATTTACTTATTTACCTATATATGAGACTTTTTGTTGTGCTCTAATGGGTATATCGCATAAAAAGCCTATAAAAACTTTTTGGCAGGTTTTAACATCAGCTTTTTCAATCTCCTTCCTTCACAGTCACTTTGCTGTCCCTCTGTACTCTTTCACTGTCGCAGATCTGAATCCACCCTCTGCCTTTTCCTTCCCTTCCCCCACCCCCAATATTGGAGACTGTTTACCTAGGGGAGTATAATCTAATCCACACAATTAAAGAGCACTTGAGTAGGGAATAAAATCTGAAATTAATTAATTTGCTGTTTTATTTAAACAATTTATCTTAACCACTTTCTGATTACGGGAGTCTATTTAGACATCTATTTAGAACTGCCTCTATTGTCTCTGAAATCAGTGAAATTTTTAAAGGCTGATATGAGCTTTTGACATTTCCAGTTAGGCTGGTGACATGGGATGTAAACAGTTGGTGAAATGAATTTCCCATTGGGGCTATAGCCAGAGCAAGAAACGTGAGAGTGATGATAACTTTGGTTACTCTGAACAACCTAACACCAGATCTTACAAAGACAATTTAAAGGACCCATTGGGATTTATGTGATTGTAACAAGAGGGAAAATATACAGTAATCAGTTGAACTAAAAAAATACTTCAAACCCTAGAGGAGAGAGCTCTTTTTGTTTGTGGTTCTTCAGAGAGTTGGGAATCAAAACTTTCCAACCTGCCACAATAGTTGCAATAATAACTGAACACAGAGGTGCTTTACAGTTTAATAAGCACTTACCTCTTATGATCTTTCTGTACCATTCCTTCCGCGATTTCACTCCCTTAAATGTCTCTGGACCATGATTCTTAATTTTTAAAAGCACATTTAGGAACTTGTCAGAATGTACTGTGATGCAGAGCAACCCAATGTTTTCTAAATCCCTTTCTCGCCTATATTTGTGAAACAGGGCGAAGTCTAAAAATGGAGGAAGATCTTTAAGAGAAAAACTGGACAAAATAGGATTAAATCTGCCAGCAGGGAGACGTAAAGCTGCCAATGTCACCCTGCTCACATCACTAGTGGAGGGTAAGCGAGTCTACTTGCTAACAAGAAGTGAACTTTTTTTCTGGGAAAATGGATAATACTTAGTAACCAGATGTTTGGTTGTACTTTGTGTCAATTGGGCAGTTTCATGTTTTTCCAGAGAATAAAGCAGGAAGTGAGCGGAATTCTTGCATGTCAAAAAAGTACTTGCATTTATTCCTATCCTCCTTTCCTCTTCCCCTCTGCCACAAAATTAGACCTCCTTAGCCCAATTCTGACCTAAACAATGTGAAAATTTAAGAACTGCATATTCTCCAAGTTCCTGTCTCCTTTATAGAGCTCAGCAGTAAATCACTTAAGGTATTCTGACATCTGCATTTGAGAAATGCGTGACCATTACTTCCTGAATTAATTTCGGAATCTTTGACCTGCATCCTGATTTAAGACCGTCCTTAAAGCTCAGGGTTATATGCCCTTTGAGTTTTTGTTTTCCAAACATATGCTTCCTTATCTGTCCTTTAATTGTGCTTCTTTACTGGAAGGGAAGAAAAGTGAGTGATTTTAGACTTTGAATTTTTTGGAAAAGAAAAGAGAAATATAAGCATTGCAAAAAGTTTTTCCTGGCAGTTTTAAACATACATGCACAAACACACACATGCATGCACACACACAATGCACACATACATGCTTCCAAACCTCTCAGAACAAAAGTCAACCCTGTCCTTACTCCCTGTTCTAGATGTACTGTCACCAGAATCTTCTCACACTCCTGCTTCCTCTAGATGTCTGTTAAGTTTTCCTGATACTAAATTGGCTTAAGTTTGAATGTGTTTAAATAAATGTATAGCTGTCTTGCATCTCCCTTTGTGTTCTCTTGGAAATACCTTATGGATATAGGAAAAAAAGGCATTTAAATGATCAGTGTTCAAAACTACCATCATGCTTAAAAAAGGCATTTTGTCTTTTTTATATGAGGAGATAAAATACAGTTAAATTCAACTTCTGCCTTTGTAAATAACTAAAAATGTTTAAAACCATAAATTTGAGGACTCCTACGAACCATTTGTTAATGGTGTCAAAGATGACAATAATATAACTGTTAAATAATAAGCAATTGTTCAGTGCCTACTGTCTACAGTAGCATTATATTCATTATATTAAAAATAATACCAGTACATAGAGAACCCTCTGTCCATACTCCAAAGGAACCATACCCAAAGAAAATGGTAGTATTGGCTTCAGGTGTAGTGTGAGTGTGTATGGATTTGGGGATTGAGTCCTGTAGTAGGGAGGCAGTTTCTGGAGAACTGTTATTGTTTGTGATCCGCTCCATTTTATGGAAACAAGCTCTGCGGAGACGGCTTTGATGCTCTAATTGGCGCATGCGTTCTTCCGGAGCTGGAGCTAATGGCAGGAAGCCCTGCAGTAAAAACCAACTGGTTCAGGAAATTAAAACCAAAGATTTGAAAATCAACAACACAGACAGACTCAGTGGAGTGACCCTCAAATCCTCTTGGTTAATCGGTTTGGATGAACAGATAATTATATGCGATCAAGTTAAAATGTAAACTCTAAGTTGTTACCTTACAGAAAAGCTCAAAGAGTAATTATGAATATCATTTATGAATGTGTTGATAGGTGTGAAGTTGGAATGCAAGAAACATTTTTAAAACAGAAGTTGGGAAAATGTTACCAGGGTGGGGGATGAGACTGGAGGGTAGTGGATGGGATTTACATTTTCAAATCACTCAGCCTTCTAGGGTAAGTGGCCATTTTTTCTGGTAACTACATCCACTAGATCCTACAAAGAAGGAAATAAAATGCCTGAAATGAGAAAACAAGTATTTTTGTGTTTCCTTCAACATCCGGTTTAGAAAAGAAAAGGAGTTGGGAGGAAGTTTTGATCCCAACTCTGCATTCTCTTGCATTCGCCTCCCTCCTCTCACCTCTTGCCAGGAGAAGCCGTCCACCTAGCCAGGGACTTTGGGTACGTGTGTGAAACCGAATTTCCTGCCAAAGCAGTAGCTGAATTTCTCAACCGACAACATTCCGATCCCAATGAGCAAGTGACAAGAAAAAACATGCTTCTGGCTACAAAGTAAGGCGTTTACCTCTTTGGGGTCTCTATTGTCTCATTGTTAAGAGAAACAAAAATCAAAATGGTTTTTTGCTCTCACTTTTCTTTTTGTGTTAATCAGTTTGTTGTAAATATTGAAATTGCAACACAATCTGATAAACCATGTCTGTTTTAGAGGGGAGCTACAAGTAGGAGTGTTCATATATTTCTAGTTTTTTCCTCTCTCCTGCCTCACCTTCCCATTTAAAAAAAAAAAAAATTAATGCGTGGGGGTAGAGGATAGTAGGGGTTTGATAGAAGCTCAGTGTGGATTTGTGACTACATTGTTTCAGAAACACCAGAATCAAGTCCTTAAAGGAGTAACAAGCTTGCCTATCAGTTTTTGTCTTCTATCAATGTTCTCCCAGGGCAAGGATTAAGTAGTGGCCTACAAAATATGCAAGCCAGAAGCTGTCCTAGTTTCAACCCTAATCCCTTATCCCATTTCTTGCCTTCCTTTCTCCTCCCTCCTGGAAAGTGCCACACACAAACATACAGACACACACGCATACATTCCCCACAAGTTTTAGCCCACAGGTGAGATGTCAAATAGGTTTCAAAAATGCCCTAAGTTATATTCCCATGGGTGCCTGTGCTGAATAGTCTCCAGGTGGTGTGTGAAAAGAAAATGACTGTCCTGATATGTTTTCTGGAAATTAAAAGGCTTGTTTGGAAGCCCTTAATTATCAAAGTCCATGTCACAGGAGGGCATAGAACCAGAGGGCAGAGGCTGAGGCCTCAGGCGGGATAGTTTCTCGCCTGGGGACATCTGCTGGCTTTGGTGAAGGCAGTCTGCCAGTGTTCCCCATTCTCCCTTCTCCTTACACCCATGCTCCCCTCTCTCCCCCTGCCCCCCAATCCACAAGGCCCCAGCTAGTCCTTATTTTCCAGATTCAGACGCAAAGCTCCCAGTGTGCCAGCCTCATATGACTATTTCAACTTTTTTTCTTCCCTTAGCTTTGTAAGCACGACCATATTCACAATTTCCCTAGAGAGTTTTATTTTATTTTATTTTGATGTGTAAGACAAGATGTGGAATGGGAAATTGAAATGTTTGTGTCTTTTTCCCAAAACCATTCTGAATTATGCCCAAGAAACAGGTTTTTCATGCCTTTTTTAAAAAGGCAATATAATCCCAAGAAAAGTTTTGCCCTTCTGTTCACATGCAACTGATTTGAAGGTGAGTGAGTGGAGTCTTCACCCCACAGACTGCTGCTGAGGTCCCTCTAGAAGATCAGGGAAGAAGGGCTAAGCAGTTGCTGGCTGCTTGCTGTTGGCTGTTGAAAAGGGGCTTGTGTTTGACTTCTTGTCCCTCTTACTCTCCTTTGTTGCTCTTCTCATGTCTGAAATATTTTCTGGTGTCTATAATGTTTGGTGTGAGCCAGTAGAGGAGGGGGTTAGATGTATGGTGTAGCTGATAGGAGGAGGAGGGAGAGAAACACTAATTTGAAATATTTAAGGAAGGAGAAGTGTTTTAGCTGACACTGCTGGACTTTCCAGCCTGTGGCCACTGCAAGGCTGTCTCTGGGGCTGGGGCCTTGGGTGTTGCCAGGTCAGTGTCTGCTGGATCCCGGCAGAAGTAACTGCAGGGAGAAAGGTTCTCTTTGCTGCTGGTGGGGGTGCCGCTGGGGAGTCTCAAGTCTCCCTCTTTCTCTCTCCTTTACTTGTGCTGCAGACAGATATGCAAAGAGTTCACCGACCTACTGGCTCAGGACCGATCTCCCCTGGGGAACTCCCGGCCCAATCCCATCCTGGAGCCCGGCATCCAGAGCTGCTTGACCCATTTCAACCTCATCTCCCACGGCTTCGGCAGCCCGGCTGTGTGCGCAGCGGTCACGGCCCTGCAGAACTATCTCACCGAGGCCCTCAAGGCCATGGACAAAATGTACCTCAGCAACAACCCTAACAGCCACACGGACAACAGCGCCAAAAGCAGTGACAAAGAGGAGAAACACAGAAAGTGAGGCGCTCCGCCCGCCCTGCCCCCTCCCTTGCCTCACCAGTCCTCTTATCCCCCAAGCGCTCACCCACTCAGCCTTCCCCCGACCAACCACCACGGGCAGGTGACAGCTCCGGGATCAGCAACCCTCCATTGCTGCTGCTGCCGCCGCCGCCGCCGCCGCTGCCGCCTTCAGTCCTCCAGTCTGGGAGTCTGGGGACTGCTCTCCACTGTCAGTGGGGCAGCCTCTGCTGACTGAGACCCCTGCCTCAACTTCCCCCATCAGAACCAACTCCCCTTTGCCCTCCTGTGGAGCCCAAGAGAACAGAACAGGCTGGCCGTAAAGCCAGCAAAGAAAAGTTCTGTCTGGATTTGTGAACCTTTTTTTAAAATAAAAAATTTAAAAAAAAAACAAAAAAAAAAAACAACCCACAAATCAACGGCAACAAAAAAAAATTAAAACTTTTTTTCTAAAAAAAGAAAGTAAAAATTAAAAAAAAAATTATGAGCTTCATGGGACTGAATCACCACCTTCCCTTACATACTTCAGTTCAGATTGTAGCCATACTTAAAAAAAAGGCAAAAGGATAATGACACTTTTATCAGTATTGTGAATAAACTTGAACACAAATACGAAGTTCCATGTCATGTCTCAGTTGTAGAAGTTTTTCCTCTTCAAGGTAAAGCAACCAACTTGAACTTTCTCTGGCAACACGATTCAGTTATATAAGGGAATCAGTGTTCATGTCTCTGTATATATTTATTTATGTGTAATTTAATGGGAAGTGTAAATATGGTGAGTCTGTTTTAAGCCTTTTTTTTTTTTTTATTTATCTGGTGATCTTGTTTACCTCTTGTTTAGTGGGTTTTGAATCTTCCCCATTAGTTCTTCATGTGGTTCATGGTACTTATTTAGAAATTCAAGGTTTGGGGGATTCTTTTTTTCCTCTGGGATTCATGAATTTAGCATGTTAAAGATGACAATGAAACAGCTGAACAAATAAAAAATAAGCAAAATAAAATTTTATATACAATTAGAATTACATTTAGCTTTTCATTGAACTGAAGGAAAAATTGATATTGGACCCTGGAAAGATTTTTAAACTTGAGTGGTTTCATAACCCTTTAATGTATTGTGAGGAGGGGGAAAAGTTAATTTTATTCCACTCTCCTCCCTTAAAAGCATTATTTGAGCAATAAATGAGTATTGTCTTTAAACCAAGGGTTAGGGATTTTTTCCTCTTTCTCTTTTTGTTCAAAGAACTTCAAACATTTGGGACCACCTGGTATTCTGTATTTTCACTGGCCATTTTGGAAGCAGTTCTGGTTGTATTGTATTGAGTTGTGCTGGCAGTAGTTTCCATGCCTGTCAATGTATCATAGTCCTTTGTTGCCCAGATAAATAAATATTTGATACGCTTTATGTCGATTTTTTTTTTTTTATTCAGTGGCTGTCTTTACCCAGGCGTATTTTTGTTCTTGGCAGTATTTTTTATTCAGTATGGTTACAGTAATTGAGTTTAACTCTCCCTTGGCAATTGCTCCTTGCAATAAGCAGCTGAACCCATTGTTTCCCTCAAGTATAATAAAAACTTACTTTCAACTTGGAGTTCAGAGCAGGGTATCATTTAGATATTCCACTGAGTCTGTATTCAGACAAATGACACAATAAAACCCAATGTATTCTTTTGGATAAAAGATTGTTTGTACTGCTAAAGGAATGACACACTATCTTTTCCTTACTAGAAACATTAATTTTATTATAAAAAATAAAGTTTTATTTTATTTATGTTGATCCTTAGGTTTTCATTTGTGTTTTGGAAACCAAAATATAAACCTTCAGAACTAAACATTAAGCATGACAAGAAAGATGGAGAACAGAAGATTCTCCCCACCCCCAACTACTTTGTAATCTGTCTCAGAAGATAACTGAAATTTAAATTGTTAGTTCATTAACACAAGGGAAATATCCACTTCACCCTTCACTTGCTAGCTCAGACTTCTCAGTGGCTGAGACATGTAAATGAGCTAAAAACTAGCTCTAGTTTTCTGAGAGGAAAAGGAATAGTGGCAGAAATGTATGTGGGGCAGAGAAAAAGAAGGCAAACTGTCTCCCATTTATTTTAATATTTTATTTGGAGATAAATTCACTCCTGTGCTGTTCTCAGTAGCTATTGTGGTAGCAGAGGGGAGTAGGAAATTATGTTGATTCCCAGAATTGTTTCTGCCTGCTCCTAAATGCCGACCCACCCCTTTCTATCACCGCAGGACTCCTCCTAGAACCTTTTAGAAATATAAAATGTTCTCTGAGGTTGAGGTACGGTGGAGAGGCTGGGGGAGGGCCTCTGCAGACCTCTCCTATCTGTCTTACACAATAACAGGACTATGTGCTTAGCTGGTACAGAGGAGGACTTCCTGGACATAAAAATGGCGAATTCAGAGCTTTTTAAACTGATTTGAAAAGTCTCCTTTGGAAGTGAGGAGGATTTCTAGTGATTTTTCAGAAGAAAATGGAGGTGGTTAAATGGAAGGCTTATAGGAAAAGTCATAGAAAAACTACCTAAGTATAGGTATAATCTACCTACTGGAGGAGATTTAACATTTGTTCATCCGGTTTGACATTCCGAAGGACTAAGGAAGCAAAGCATTAGGCAGTGTCCATTTTGCAGTCTTTTGCTTTCTAATCTCTTTATGGAAGGCAGTGTAAAATCAATCCAGACAGATGAACGAGAGCTGGTGGAGTCTAAATTCTATTTTCCAAAGCCAGAGAATTCATAACAATGGTGGGTTTTTTTTTTTTAATTCAAATGGCGAATGTATCCTCAGAACGCAAGGCGGCAATTGTTTTTTAAAGCGGTTATTTATTATTTCCTAGAGAGACTGTTTAACTGTAACGTAGATGTAACAAAATAATGAGGCGAATGAACCCTAACTGTACATACTCTTGACAGAAATGAAATGCACACAGCATCGTAGCAGGTGAAGTGAAGCATTGTCTATCAGGGCTGTTTTTCTTGGCTGCATCTCAGATTGTGTGGGGGGATCCTAACCTCAGGCACAATAGCATTCATAAACAGCCATACATTGCTGCTCTTTCTCCAACGACACATAAATACTCATTTTAAAACGAAAACAATCTTATTAAATACCATTCATTCATATCTGGATTTACAGATGCTTGTTATGTTGGAAAACCTGAACCCAATATAATCCTTGCATCCTGAGAAAGACAGAAAGGAAATAGTGGGTTAGAACATTACAAGGTCATTATAAACAATGGTTTCCAAAGGCACAGAATTAATTATTTTTATTCTGTAGTTGGACATTTTGAGGACTATGATATTGCCACTTCTTCTTCTGTAACAAAAATTTAGAAGAAGTTATGTGTATTTTAAGAGGTGGGAGGATTAGAGGGGTTATTATTAGAAATAATTTTTATGGGTCTAACCAAAGGCTATATGGATTTTGGCTTTCTCTGTCGTATCCAATGTGTATTTACTAAGACACATGGTAATTATTGGACAGGTCACGTGTTTATATACTAACAGTTGTGATTATCTTTGAATTAAGTCAAATTAGGATACATAGTTGAATTTTAAGAACACTTGCTAGGCTATGCTAATTACCACGCCCAATTTTTATGGGAACACAATGCTTCTTCATTACCCCTTCTATTCTCCTACACCCTTTGAAAATCATGATCCAACCCATTCCTCCCCAAAATCGAATATTAATATAATTTGAGTTCTTGATGGAACTACCATCAGGACTGCAATGCCCCGCAGCTGAAATAATATTTAAAATAGAAGGGATTTGACATTTGAGAAGTCAGTGGCTTGAAATACCCAGTTGTACTTAGCTAATTCAGTCCTTAACCTCTGGTTTCAAATAAATCAATTACAGTCGATTCCACTTCAGTTCAGAAGTGCACAGGGTTTTAGTTAATTGAATACATTTTATTCACTTGCTAGGAATATTCATTTATCAAAATTCCAAATTTAATGTACATTTCTTTACAACTGAGGTTATGTTAGACTGTACAATCAGATCAAATTTGCTTTGGTTTCCCTCAAATCCTGCTTAAAATCTAAATTTCACCACTCTTTATGAAGCAATGTCTCCCATTCCTTTCTCAATCAAAAGTAAATTTATAATAATTCCATGCCAGGTAAGAGAGCTGGTTTCCTCCACAAAGAAAAAAAATCTTGTGGTCATCAGCCTTGCATTAAGTCTAAATAGGTTAGGAACAGAGCCGGATTAATTAAGTTTTTAAAAAGTATTGACCTGAAATTAAAAAAAAATTACGCATGGTTTCCATTAGAGCTTAACTTTGCTGCAGCTGACAGGTATGACAGCTTTTTGTGGTCTTAAAGCCACAGGCCCCTTTTCTTAACCCTCTCTCTTCCTCTGCCTCCCCCCTCTGGCTTTTGGAGAAGTGCTTGAATAAATAGTGAATTGTTAACTGAGAGCAGGATGGTTACATGTGCCCAAATGAAGTTGTGCTTTAAACAGATATTGATGTATGCAGTGTTTTATATTTATTGTTTGTAGCATCCTGCTGGCAGCAGTTTACTATTTGGAAAGGAAAGGGGTTAATTAGCGTCATTATCAATCACTAATGCTTGCCTAACGTGTCCAAAGAATAATCAAGTTAGAGGACGGCATGAAGCCAACAGCTGCTTCATCCCAGTTACAGATCTCCTCCTAAGCCACCCAGTTATGGGGTGGGGGGTAGGATGTGGGGGGGGGGAATGAAGTGAGGGGAAGAGTCCCCATTGCTTGGGTAAAAGGGCTATAAAAATCAGGTCAACTCACTAGAGATCCAAGAGGCGGAAAGTACAACATAAATAACTAGCATTTTCATTCTCTGAGTTACAGGTGCAGAGATGGCAGCGGTCCTGAGGCAAGAGTACAAACATTTGTCCTTTAATTAGCCTGATTATCCAAGTTGGGCATTTGAAGAAACAACCATATTTACCCTATCGCTTGGTGCTATATGGTAAAAAGATACCTAAATCGCAAGAAGAGAAGAAGGAGGAGGAGGTAGGGGGAGAGGACCGAGAGAAAGGGGAGGAGGGGAAAGAAGAGGAGGAGGAGAAGGAGAAGAGAACCCACAGACACCACAGACAACCCAAGTTAACTACAAACGTTACCCAACCACCCATCTCAGAAGGATGAAACCACGAACAATGCAGGTAATAGCAGTTCTCACACCTCTGCATCACCTCTTAGGATGCTTAGGGATATTTTTCCTTGTGACTTTCATTGAACAATTCCTTTTTATATTAAACTTAGTTGCTGCACATGTATGCCATCTCAGCTTCCTACTGTTGTTACTACTATACTTGTGATACACCATGGAAGAGAAACTGAAAAAGTTTGACTTATTATGGGTGCCTCTTAA